TTCCATGCCATTTTCTTGCAACCCTATTTAACGTGGTTTACATACAAGCAATTATAGGTGGTTTTTTTTTTTTCAGTTGGAATTCTGCTAACTTCCGATGTTGAACAGTGCTATGCAGAGAAACAGGCTCTTGGGGAGGTGAGCTTTGAGTTCTTAAACACTCAAGTTGATCCAGCAGTTTGGGAAATTAGTGGACATATCACTCATATGGTACTCAAAAGGAAGGAGGACTATGAGAAGGCCTCCGAGGAAAATGCTTGGAGGCTCCTGGCTGAGGTTTCCTTGTCTGGAGAGACTCCACGAAGTGATGGAGCTACTCTTTGAAGCCATTTCTTGCAGTATGGAGGACAATGGTGTTACCCAAAACATACTCGAAGATTCAGACGTCGGCCCCAATCTCTTGAAGACGTGGATTCCTTTAAAGGCTCCCATCCTGCTATAGTCTGTTTAATTAGCAGAAATGAATGCTGGGTTTTACTTCTGAGAAATAAATGGACTTTGGAGACAGGATCTCATTCCTGCTTTTTATTTGCTGTCCCATGTGTGCCTAATAACGGATTTTCTATGGTTTCCCCTGTTGATATTAAGATAGGTGTTACGAAGTTAAAAAAAAAAAATAATAATAATAACATGGATTGCACTCTCCTCGCTGTGTGGCGATTTTTTTCCCCTTTCCTTTCAAATGCCTAAAAACCTTTTTTTGCGAATGGGCAACATACTCGGAGAAAAAGTGTCAATTGGAATGAATGTGTATCTGGAAACAATGCTTCAACAAATACACAAATATCAGAATTCGAATTGGCAAACCATTTTGCATAACAATAATAAACAAATAAATAAATTATGACCAGTTGGAATCCGGTTAGATTAGATATAAGTAAAAATAAATTTTAAATATGGAATAATAATTTTCATATACAATTTCAATAAAAATTAATTGAAATTAGGCTCCCGAACTTTGAAAAATGGATAATGAGGTTTGATTACGTCCAAAGAATAACGCGATAGTTGTAGTGCAGATTTGGGGTGTCGTATCCATAGGGAGATGGAAAAATATTTTAAAGGATCAAAAAGACTGAATCGTTCTCTCAATTGTGTAATCGAATTTGGTAAAATTAAAATCAATGCAGGAAGTGAAGTATCAGAATTCTCTCATTTGGATCAGTTCATTCACATCAATTATTCAGTTTTATAACTCAATTAGAGGCTTGCATCTCGGCACTCTAATAAGAAGATATGACGTTACAAATCAATTTAATTCAATTGTCATCCTAGAATCTTAACTTCCTATAACACATTCACACTCTTTTTATTGGAATAAAATCAAGAATCGATCATATAC